ATCGAGAGCTCTCTACATCCATCTAAACCAGCCAGAGGGTATCGAGAGCTCTCTGCATCCACCTAAACCAGCCAGAGGGCATTGAGAGCTCTCTATATCTACCTAAACCAGCCAGAGGGCATTGAGTGCTCTCTACTTCCACCTAAACCAGGCAGAGGGCATCGAGAGCTCTGTGCCTCTATCTAAACCAGTGTTGTCCAAAAGAATTAGAATTAGGTTTATTGTCATGTGTAGTCAAGTTGCAAAAGAACAGGAATCCAGTGAAAAGTGTACAATGATGCCAACACACGATGTCATCTTAGGTACAAAGTACCTAGCTACAAAAAGTAGAGAAAATAAAGAAAACTAAGTTAAAGAAAACAGTCCGAATAAGCAGCAAATGGGCCACCGAGAGTGTGCCTTACTCTAGAAGAGTAGAAGACACTAGAAGACACCCGACACGAGTTTATAGTCCAACAGGATTATTTGAAATCACAAGCTTTTGGAGCGCCGCCCCTTCATCCTGCACTCCAAAAGCTTGTGATTTCAAATAGACCTGTTGTTCTATAACCTGATGTTGCATGGCTTCTGACTTTGCCCACCCCAGTCCCAACACCGACATCTCCACGTCAGTGAGATAGGATAATCGGTGACCATCAGAGTCCTGCAGTAGTTCATTCGATTGAGGAACCAACTCCAGTCTCTTGAGTGATCAATCTGTCGCCACAACAGAGGTAGAGGAGTAACAATCCATAACCGTTAAAAACAAACTATCACCTTGCTCCATCTAACTTTGTGGTAAAGAGAAACACCATGGAAGGAAATGAAACCATGTTGAAATATTTCAGTTGCTACACTGCACCTGAATTTTGGGTAATTGTGAATAGTTGCAATAGCTACATGTATTTGACAGAGCTGCTGTGAGAGTGCACTGCGCAATAGCTCCCCCCTTCAACCCTGTGTCTCAATTCTCGTTCATCTCTGTTACAAGATTCACATAGCCCTTAGCATGTATTTTGTATCATAGCATAGAATCCCTACAGCATGGAAGCAGGCCATTTGGCCCATCCAATCCACACCAACCCTCTGAAGAGCAGCCCACCCACCCCTCTATCTGTAATCCTGTATTTCCCATGGCTAATGCACCCAACCTTCAAGTCTTTGTGACTGTGGGAGGAACCTGGAGCACCCGGAGGAAACCAGCACAGACTCAGGGAGAAACATGCAAACTCCATACAGAGAGGCTGGAATCGAACCTGGGTCCCTGGTGCTGTGAGGCAGCAGTGCTAACCACAGAGTCAGATGTGAAGGCAGCAGTAGGTCTGGTGAGCATCAAAATTCCTTGGGATAATGCTGATCAAAGCCACCCAAACAGGCAGTTACCAAGAGATCTGAAGAAAAGTTATTTTGGTCTCGAAACGTTAACTCTGTTTCCCTCTCCAGGCCCATTGAGTTTCTCCAGCATTCTCTGATTTTGTTTCAGATTCCCAGCATCTGCAGTAGTTTGCCAATGGTCTAATATTTCGCATTACTGCGCTGGAGTGGCATTACAGGTCATGAACTCAGAATCCCAGAATTCCTACAGCATTCTGCCCATCTTGTCTGTACTATCTGAAACAGCATTTCCCATAGAGCCGTTCTTCCCTTTTCTCCGCCTCATTATTTTTAAGTAACAGTCAAGCCACAATTTTCTCTCGGGTGTGCGGGGGTGTGGTGGGTGCAGGGTTGGGGCACTCCTTTCAAACTGATCTGACCCAGAAGATGTGCAGGGGTTCAGAAGGAAGATCTAGAATTTGGTCCCAGTCCTGTACTGGGTTAATTGGATCGTTACAATGACGGTAAATGTAACTGAACACAGAAGACCAGCCTGCTAGGGTGCCTGTCCCTGATGGAAACTTAAGATCGTAAGAAACAGGAGCAGAAGTAGGCCATTCAGCCCACTGAATGCTCTGCTGTTCAAAAACATCATGGCCAATATGATTGTGGCCTTGACCCCACTTTCTTGGCTGATGCCTGACTGCCTCAATCGAAACTCTCTTTAAATCAGCCTCTGTTGCTCTTTGAGGAAGAGTTGCAAAGATTGATGACCCTCCAAGGGAGAAATTCTGCCAAATCTTCATCTTAAATGGCAGACAACTTTACCTTTAATTGGAGTCTTTTAGTTTCCCTTCAGGTATTCCGCATTTTAGACTGAAGTAGAGAAAAAAATTTGGTCTCTCAGGAACCCAAGGGAGATGGAGCACAGGGGGAAAGTGGACTTGAATCTACAGATCCCTCACGATCATAGGAAATGGAAGAGCAGGCCAGGTTTTATCATTTAAAACAGAAACTGCTGGAGAAACTTGGCAGGATCTCTGAAGAGAGAGAGAGAAAGAGGAGCTAACGTTTCGGGTCAAGCGACCTTTCTTCGGAACTTCGAAATCCGTTCTGGAGAAGGGTCACTGGACCCGAAATGTTAACTCTGCTTTCTCTCTTCACAGATGCTGCCAGATCCATTGAGTTTCTCCAGTAATTCCTGCTTTTGTTTCTAGCATCTGCAGTATTTTGGGGTTTTTTTGCCTACTCTTGCTCCCAATTTCTTAAGTCTGCCCTCAGTGAATATTGAATGAGAAGAAAGTTATGTCCATCTCCCTCATCTCTCACACCAGTGCGTGGCCAAAGGCCGAGATGTTTGTTGGTGGCTAACAGTGGAGGGGGAATGAAGGAAAATTGGAGAACAAGACAAAACACCTCTATATGCTATTAATAACATTCTTTATTGCAAAACCTGAATGAACTGATATTTGCCTCATGATTGTGCCTCATTATGTAACTTCTAGCTCCTGGAAGCTTCGATCACAAGAAGTTCTTCACTATGGTGGGTCTGAAGAAGAAGAGTAGTGAGGATGTGAAGAAAGTCTTTGAGATCCTTGACCAAGATAGGAGTGGCTTCATTGAAGAGGATGAGCTTAGGTAAGATCCAATTGCATCAGTGAACTAAACTCTGACTCTCAGCAACCTTTTAGACTTATGTTTCTCTACATGGCGTTACAATCTGGCGGGGAAGGGGCAGTCAGCTCCTGCATTGTATCTCTGGCATTAAAATATAACAGAATTTCTTCAACTGGCTTGTGGGAAGTGAGCTCATTGTGCTAAATTGCCAAGTTAGGACTCCATCTTGTCAATTATGTTAAATTGGAACGAGTTATAAAGAAAGGCTGGATAGTCTGGGACTTCTTTCACTGGACCATACAAGGTTGAAAGGCGACCTTATTGAGGTTTATAAAATAATGAAGGGTATAGATAACATTAGTTATAGGTGTCTTTTCCCTAGGATGGAGGATTTCAAGACTAGAGGGCACATTTTTAAGGTGAGAGGAGAAAGATCTTAAAAAGACATGGGGACAAATTTTTTACACAGAGGGTGATTCATGTGTGCAATGAACTTCCTGAGGAAGTGGTCGATGCGGGAACAATTACAACATTTAAAAGACATTGGGATAGGTACATGAATAAGAAAAGCTTAGAGAGATATGGGCCAGGAAAAGGCAGGTGGGACTAGCTTAGTTTGGGATTATGTTCGGCATGGATTGGTTGGACTGAAGGGTCTGTTTCCATGCTGTATGACTCTGTGATATTAGCTCGAGCAACACCTCACTTTTCAGTTATTAATTTCCATTACAGGCCCATCCAGAAGGAAAATCCAGTAAAACTGGTGAATGAGACACAGTGTGGAGCTGGAGGAACACAGCAGAGGAGCAGGAAAGTAAATGTTTCGGGTCAGGACCCTTCTTCAGAAAAGCCATTTCTGAAACAGGGTCCTGACACGAAATATCAGCTTTCCTGCTCCTCTGATGCTGCCTGGCCTGCTGTGTTCCTCCAGCTCCACACTGTGTTAATCTCTGACTCCAGCATCGGCAGTTCTTACTATCCCTGGTGAATGAGACAAACTGGTTGGATGTCAAAATGGAGATCTAGTATGACTAATACATTCATTTTCAAGAATTACTAGTTTCTTTTTTTAAACTTTGTTTCCCTTCTGGATACTCGTAAAAAACTAGCAAATAGGACTAGTTCAGTTTAGGAAATCTGGTCGGCTTGGAGAAGATGGGCCAACAGGTCTGTTTCCATGCTGTATGACTCTATATGACTCTACATATATATTTGAATGTCCAGAGCAGACAAAGTATACTTTGCAAGAAAAGACATTTCAAGAGTCCCATATAAAGATTTGTATCAGAAGACTGTTTGACACAGTGGAAGTATAGGAGCAGGCCATTCAGCCCTTCAAGTCTGTTCTGCCATTCAGTGAGATCATGGTTGATCTGCAGCCTAACTCCATACACCTGCCTTTGGCCCATATCCCTGACTACTGTTGCTTAACAAAAAGAAAATATGTATTTCAGATTTAAAATTAACAATGGATTAACATCCACAGCCATTTGTGGAAGAGAGTTCCAATCATCTATCACCTTTATAGCAGGAAGGGGAGATGCCTGGAGTTATTGACAATAAGTAGTATTCTTGCTTTCAGGTGGCTCAGTGGTTAGCGCTGCTGCCTCACAGCGCCAGGGACCCGGGTTCGATTCCACCCTCGGGTGACTGGCTGTGTGGAGTTTGCACATTCTCCCCGTGTCTGCGTGGGTTTCCTCCCACAGTCCAAAGATGTGCAGGCTAGATGGATTGGCCATGGGAAATTGGCCGTAGTACCCCGGGGTGTTTCGGTCAGATGGCTTAGACTTGGGAAATCAGGGTTAGGATAATGGGTCTGGGTGGGATGGTCTTCGGAGGGGTCAGTGTGGACTTGTTGGGCTAAATGGCCTGTTTCCACACTGTAGGGATTCTATTTCTATGAAAGATGTGTAGGCTAGGTGGCTTAGCTTGGGAAATGTACGGTGTGGTGGGTTTGGGTGGGATGTTCTTTGGAGGGTTGCTGAATGGTCTGCTTCCACACGATTGAGATTCTATGTTTTGTGTGTAGAAGTGCTTCCTAGCATGAATGGCCTCACCCTAATTCTCAAACAATGCCGCCTAGTTCTAGAATCTCCAACAAATAGAAATGATTTCTCTTTATCTCCCCTGTCTTTTCCTGATAACATCTTGAAGAATGCGATCAGATCACCCCTTAATCTTCTAAAATCCAATCCGTATAATCACTCCTCATTAACTTAACCCCTAAAGTCCAGGTAGCATTCTAGCAAATTTGCGTCATTCTCCCTTCAAGGCCCATATGTCCTTCTGACATTTTATTGTTGCCACATGTACCTACATACAGTGAAAAGCTTTCTTGTGAACCCTACAGGCAGATCATAACATACAAGGACGTACAGATCATAGGGTGCTTAGACAGAGCAAGGCGTACACACAGCTGCACAGGAGGTGCACAAAGCAAGATCAACATTAGATTTGAATTTTGAGAGGTCCATTCAGCAGTCTAATAACAGTGGGGAAGAAGCTATTCTTGAATCTAGAGTCATAAAGTCATAGAGATGTACAGTATGGAAACAGATCCTGAGGTCCAACTCGTCCATGCCAACTAGATATCCTAAATAAAGCTAGTCCCATTTGCCAGCATTTGACACATATCCCTCTAAATCCTTCCTATTCATATATATATCCAGATGCCTTTTAAATATTGTAATTGTACCAGTCTCCGCCACTTCCTCTGACAGCTCATTCCACACACGCACCACCCTCTGTGTGAAAATGTTGCCCCTTAGGTCCCTTTTAAATCTTTCCCCTCTCACCTTAAACTTATGTCCTCTACTTTTGAACTCCCCCACCCAGGGGAAAAGACCTTGGCTATTCACCCTATCCATGCCCCTCATGATCTTATAAACCTGTTATAAGGTCACCCCTCAGCCTCTGATGCCCCAGGGAAAATAGCCCCAGCCTATTCAGCCTCTCCCTATAGCTCAAACCCTCCAACCCTGGCAACACCCTTGTAAATCTTTCCTGAACTGTTTCACAACATATTTTCTATAGCAGGGAGACCAGAACTGAACGCAGTATTCTAAAAGTGGCCTAACCAATGTCCTGTACAGCCGCAACTTGACCTCCCAACTCCCTACACTCAATGCACTGACCAATAAAGGGAAGCGTACCAAATGCTTTCTTCCCTATACTGTGTACCTGTGACTCTACTTTCAAGATACTATGTACTTGGTGGTATGTGTGTTTAAGTTTCTGAATCTTCTGCCTGAAGGGAAAAGTTGGAAGAGACTATTCGTAAGGTGTGATACCCTGATCTGCTCACAGTTCTCCAAGTGAGGACTAACCAGGGTTTTGTATAACTGCTGCATAACTTCTGCATCCTTGTAGTGCAGTCCCGTCGATATAAAGGTCAGCATTTCATTAGCTTTCCCGATTATTTTCTGCGCCTGCCCATAGCATTTTAAAGATCAATGCACCTGAACCCCCAAGTGAATTTGAACATCCTCGCACTACAACAGAGAGGAGGGGGGGGCAGCAATGGAAGCTGGTGAAGGTAGATTGAGCAACAGAGATGTGAAAGGGAAATTGCAGCGAGTAGTGAGTGTCAGGGGGTTGGTTCAGTTGGCTTGATAGCAGCAACAGCATGGGGTTCGCTCCATGCCCTGGCTGTGTTGACTTGCATTACCTTGCTCCATTGTAAAATCGCAGCATTTGCCATGAACCGGTGACCCTTATATCATCAGGGGCGCTGTCCGAAGAAGAAATGATTGTCAAGGAAGAGAGAATTGGAGCCCAACAAGTTTAGGAAGCAGTGGCTGTACATTGTCATTTACATCTGTGTTTTGTTTGTACTTTGCCCTTTTCACAGATGTGTGCTAAAGGGCTTTCATGCGAATGGAAGAGAACTCTCTGACAGCGAAACCAAGGCTTTGCTTGCAGCTGGAGATGAGGATCACGATGGTAAAATTGGAGCAGATGGTATGTATTTGATAGAGATGGATAGATCTGAGGCTTATATCATGGTGACAGCTATCTACCTGCCTGTGGAATTCTCCAACTGTATTATATACTTCACAAGAAGCTTGTGCTATAGATATTTTCTAATCAACCCATTCATTGATATATTACACACCTCGAGAGCAGATGGGACTTGAACCTGGACCTCATAGGCTAGAGGTAGGGACACTACCACAACACCACATGAGCCCAAATTGCTACCGTCATAACCCATTATTTTTTATTATTTTTATGTCGATTTGCTCAGTTGTGTCATGACTCCTCTGGAGCAAGCCGGACTTGAACGCAGCCCTCCTGGCTCAGAGATAGGGATGCTACCCACCGTGCCACAAGAGTCGGAGTTGACACAGTGACCCTAAGCATGTCAGTGCTGTGTCCCACTGCAGTGCCCCCGCTCTCCCAGCTGAGCGACCAATGGAGGATCACAAGGGGACAACCAAGCCCTGGCGCATTCTCCATGGCGATGCCTTGGCCAATCAGAGTGAACTTTCTCAGTTTGAATTTATCCAAAGGTTAACTGCCACAGGAATGTCTCTGTCAAAGAGAATCTGGTTACCAACAGTGCAGCACAGCTTTTTTCTCACTGCATTGTAAATTGTTGTTCACTTTGCGATTTGCTTTTCTTGTAAGGGTGGCTCGGTAAAAATCACAGTATGAAACCCAGGGCCCAATTTCCCTGTCCCATGTCAAGAGGCACTGACACTAGATGCAGGTGAGAACAACAAATAGAACTAAACTGGGGGTTGAAAGTCCATCAAGAATACTCAGGGAACTGGACAACAACCAGGAGAAAGCAACCCATCAATAACCCTCAACATTCACTTCCTCCAACACCAACACACAGTGGCACTAGGGTGTACCATCTACCAGATGTACTGCAGGAACTCAACTCCATTGAGATCACCTTCCAAACCTTTATCCTTTGGAAGGGCAAGGGCGGCTGATGTTTGGGGAGATCAGGACTTGCAAGTTCCCCTCCAAACCACAGTTGGGCCTAGATTTTCATCCAGAATCGTAGTGCATAGGTTTGGGAAGATTCCTGGCTCCATGACTTTTAACGATGGCCGCCCAGTTATTGGGTTTCAATCCATGTACAATGGGTTACATCGGAGTGGGCCTTCCCTGACCAAGAGCCAAGGGGTGAAGGAGAGTTGGGTGGAAGGGTTGTCTCCATGGCCCGGTGCTGTATTGACGTTTCAAAACAAAATGAAAACACAAATCAGTTCTCCAGCCCTCACCCTTCATATCCCCTCACCCTACCACACACTCCTCATGCCTCATCCTTGTCAACCACTTCGTTCCCCTGTACTGATTCTCTGTCACCCTTCTCACCCTCAAAGCTAATGTATTCATCCTTCATTGCCCTTCATACCATCCCAATCTCTGTCCCTCCACCTACCCCCTTGGCCCTTTCTAATCCCTATACCAACTTGGTACTAACTCATAACAAGCCATGAATGCCAATCTTTGCCCTTACGCCTACCTTGCCAACTTACCTAGTTTGTCCCATGGGCAGATCTCAGGATCTAAGTGAGGTGAATAAAGTTGTATTTAATACAGGTCTAAGTGCATATTGCACACTTCACTGTATTTCACAAAAAAAACTCATTCATTAAAACCCATTTACAATCTTTACATCCCTTCAACCACACAATGCCTTATCAGAAAAAAAATCATTAAGTGTGGAGTCTTTTGCAGCAACATTAGAATTCAGTTATAGTCCCATTTCAAAGAGTCTACAGGCACTTAGGGCTGCCAATCAAACTGTGAAATGGCAGGCACTCCACTGTAATAATGGATGGCTGGGAAGCTGGACATACTCTAACAACTCAGTAATGGAAACCTCTAGGCTACTGTCACTAGATTGAATGAGATAGACAGCAATTATTACTTAACATGTAAATATGTTAAAATTATGTAAATGCTCCATTTTTTTAAAGCTTAAATTCACCAAAGATCTTCAGACAGTACCTTCCAAACCCACAAGCATTTCTATCTAGAAGGACAATGGCAACAGATAGATGAGAATACCACCACCTTCAAGTTCCCCTCCAAGCCATTCACCATCCTGATTTGGAAATATACCGCTGTTCCTTCACTGTCACTGGGTCAAAATCCTGGAATTCCCTCCTTAACGGCATTGTGGGTCAACCCACAGCAGGTGGACTGCAGCGGTTCAAGAAGGCAGCTCACCACCACCTCCTCAAGGGGCAACTAGGGATGGGCAATAAATGCTGGGCCCAGCCAGTGATGCCCATGTCCCAAAAATGAATTAAAAAAATGGAAAGAGTTTCAAATGCCATGATAGCTCGCAACTCCTTATCTGTGTATGTTAGTCCATGTAACATGTACCACAGATAGTTGCGCTTTTGTTAAGCCAGATATCTAGAAGTTTATTTACAACACTCTTAGAAGATTGTGATATACATGCATATATACAGAGTCTGGGTTGCTTTTGACAGTTCCAATGAGCTTGACAGTTAACATAGGAGATAAGACCTGGAGTAGGCTATTTAGCCCCTTGAGCCTGTCCTGCCATTCAAAGCAATCATGGTTACTCTTTTATCTCTACTTTTAGCTATTCCAAACAGTATGTTATATCCCCGGAAAGGGCACATAACATCCCCCAAAGGTCATTTGACTTCCCTAGAGATGTCCCAGGACCGTATCAAAAATACAAAAGGTGCCTTGCCTCTGTAAAGATGTACTGTGACTAGCCAAAGAAAAGGCACAATGTTCAGCCCTGCTTTTACCAGGTCTGCGGTGCACGATTTGGGAAGGAAATCCGCTGCCCTTACCTGTACTGTCCTATGTGTGACACACAGCAAGGTGGCTGACTCATTAGGGGTGCATAATAAATGCTGGTCTAACCAGTGACACTTTCATGTCAGAAATAAATAAAAATAATGCGGACAATGGCTCAAAATGCGAAACATCCCACTCTGATGATTGTTTAAGCATTTTAATCTGATATCTTAATTCCTTATCTTTTACTCTTTTTTTCCCCTTCTCTTCTTTTGCAGAATTTGCAAAGCTGGTGGCTCAAGCATAAAAGAACTGAACCAAATCAATGCTCCTTTACCAGCTCCTACCCCTCCCCTAGCCATTTGAGTTCATAAAGGTCTCTATACCTGACTCTGGCCCCAGAGAAACCCTTGGTTAATTAATGTCCACACAGAGTTCCTTCTATTTATTTGTACATTTTATACTCGTGTTTGTGCCGGAAGGTTTTGTCAAACAAATAAATGTCAAAAGAATAATTTGGTCCGACAAATAATAGCGTCTGTGCGTTCTGTCTTCAATGGTCAGTTCAAGATAAACTTGCTCCAAGTGTTACCAGATTAACTGGTCGTCTAGATTTTGCACTGCAAGGGTCCCTCATTAACGGTGTTAACCTTAAACTCCGAATCTAGTCAAGGCTGCTCTCTCAATAGACAGCGAGTGAGAGACATAGACAGCTGGTGGTTTAACCTGAGGTTCATTCTGCCTCAAGCAAGAGGGGCAAGAGGTTAGGAAGGAAAATCCTTTGTGGATATCACAACCAGCTCAGGAATCAAACCCGCGTTGTCGACATTGCTCAAACCAGCCATCCAGCCAACTGAGTTGTCCTTTTTCACCTGATGTAGCAGGTGAATAAACACTTTCCTTCCCTTGTGTATAGCAGCACAGCCTAAGATTTTGCCTGTTACATAAGGTAAACCTTTCTGAAAATTTGTTTGAAAATGTATCCAGCACTAGAATTTCCATATAAAAGGAATTTGCAAGTCTTCTTAAACTACGAGTGTCTTTGCTTCCGATGTTAACAGTGGTTTTCTATAGAGGCGGTCCCCAATATTAGAATGCCTGATTTAACAAATGCACCTACTCACAAACGAAATCCCACACAGGAGTGTATTAATCTCAATGATCCAACATGCTCACACTGATGAACGGCTATTTTATATTGTACTGTATTGTGTTCTGATGTGCTCACAAACAAATATATGAATGTACACAGGAACAGAACCCATTTATAAAATGGATACTATCTGCATATGTTGGTCCATCTCACATATACCACAGATAGGTGCAGCTTTGTTGATCCAGATATCTAGAAGTTTATTTTCAACACTGTTTAGAAGGTTGTGATATTATAGACTCACATACAAAGTCTAGGTTCTATGCCTATTGAGCTACTGTACATTAGACACACATGTGGCTGACCTGAATGCATTACACACACAGAGAGTGACTGAAGAGGAGGTGGGCCTTTTACTGGATGCCATGTGTTGCAATGGCATGTAACTCTATGAAAAGAATTGGCCTCTTTGGTCTAGAATTGAAGCCATAACAAAACAATGTTTGTGCTGCCCCAGGAAGGATGGGAACTTCAGAATAGAGACTCAGGGACAATGCCAGAATGACAATGTCTCAGGAAGTAGGTCAGTTATCAAAGACTGGGATGAGGAGTAACCTCTTCACTCAGACAATTCCTTACCTGGGAGGGATAACGACGCTCATTGTCATGTAGCTTCAAGAACAGGGCCAAAAGATATTGGGGCACAAGGGGACATGAAGGATGTGGGGATACTGCATGAAGGTGGAGTTAGGTAGACAATCAGCCATGATTTTGTTCAAAGGCACAACAGTATCAAATGACCGACTCTGACATCGACTACTTATGGCATTCCTCATCAGGATTGTGTAGGATGTCAAGAGAAATTTGGATGCACCAAAATATTGCTGCCTTAGTGCATCCATACGTCAAAGGTCACAGATATATTGTAAGATCAGTCTTGGTGGGTTGCTACAACACATCCTGTGGATTGGACTTGTCGAACTGTGGTCCCGTGGAGCACACAGTGAGGGATTCCTGTGGGGCACAGTGAGCAGCCTCGCGGGGAACAGTGAGGGCTCTAGTGGGACACAGAGGGGGTCCCTGTGGAACACATTAAGGGGTCCTGGAGAGACACAATTTGCAGTGGCCCCCGTTGATCACTTGATCAGGATGCTCCAATTGGCTGATCAGGGATCTAGTGGAACCCTCCTTTCACAGTGACTGGTACCACTCAGATAATAATCAGATCACCCCTCCCTCTCACCCACTATGGAAATGGGGGGAAGGTAGTGATTGAATGAGTGAATAAAAGTTTGAGTGAATGAGTGAGAAAGAGAGAGAGAGAAAGTGAGTGGTGTGTAGGTGAGTGAGTAAGAGTGAGTGAGTGTGAGTGAATGAGTGAGTGAGTGAGAGAGTGGGTGAGTGAGTGAGAGAGAGAGAAAGTAAGTGGTGTGTAGGTGAGTGAGTGCGTGAGTGAGTGTGTGAGTGAGAGAGAAAGTAAGTGGTGTGTAGGTGAGTGAGTGTGTGAGTGAGTGAGTGAGAGAAAGTGAGTGGTGTGTAGGTGAGTGAGTGAGAGAGAGAAAGTGAGTGGTGTGTAGGTGAGTGAGTGTGGGTGAGTGTGAGTGAATGAGTCAGTGAGTGAGTGAGAGAGAGAGAGAGAAAGTAAGTGATGTGTAGGTGAGTGAGTGTGAGTGAGTGAGTGAGAGAGA